TAAAAAATTTTAAACGGATGTCCTTTATTACAGATTTTAAAAATTTATCTAAAATCTTTTGGAATCCGATTCAATTTCTGAGTCGGATTCATATGACTTAAGAATAGCTATTACGTTGTGAAATAATAAATGGAATGTTTATAATGGCAAGCAAGATAATTTCTTATCAATCATTTAATTTGAATCTACTAACATTGGCGTGGAGTGTATTTATATAAAATTCAAGAACACTGTCTAATATTAAAATGGTCAACAGTTTTACTTTAAATATAATACTTTAAAGTATATAATGGTGTAATGCTTTAAAATAAAAAATTATTTCTATTTTCAACTCTACTATAGTCGTTCTATATGACAAATAAATTTAAAATTTTGTATGCTTCATGTTTAATTAATTTTAATTAGTTCTATTGCAAACATTTACAAACATTCTGAATAACGTTAAAAGCTTCATTATTGCCTCTTTATAATATAAATAATTTTATTTAAAATGAGTTTTTAAGTCTAGAAATAGTGTATTTGTATATGTATCGTGCTATTATTTATTTTTAAAAGTCAGGGAAATTCTGTACAACGAACAATAGAATAATAATTATTATGAATTATTCATTTAGTGGGCGGATGTACCCAAAGAAAACTATGCTAGAATTTTTCAAATACATCACACAAATTTATTTACTTCTCAATTGTGCACAATATATAAAAAATATAATTAACCAAATGGAAATCATTACGCGTACGTAAATTAGTAAAAAAAAAATTTAAGTAAGAAATCGTGTTTTGTTCAGCATAATGTATTTCGACGTTTGTTAAATACTAACTCATTATTTCGAATTAATCAAACAGATAGTTAACAACTCATATTATTTAATTAATGATTATTACTACAAAATTGAAATGTGTGATTCAAAAGCAATGTGTTAAGTTAAGGAAAAAGAAACATAATCTCAGCAAGGTCGTTGTCTACCAATTAATGACATCGTTAGAAAGGTAGTAACTTAAAATGAGGGTTGTATTAATTACCACTATGTATATTGGTACAATTGTCAATTAATTAATGCAACTTATAGCGTTTAATCATTACAGTTTAATTATAAACAATTTTATTCATTAAAAACTAATTTTCTCAACTCGTAAACGAATTTATTATTGGAATTTATAATTGCTAATTATATAAAACAGGAAATTATTTTTATTTTCACTATATTTAAAAAAAACTATTTCTTTTAAACGTTTTATATATTGGGCTGAAATTATCAGTTTCCGCGTATATTGTTCACCTGAGACACTATTATTAACTCTCACTAAATCCTCTTGGTTCCGAAACCCACAAAAACAACAGTGGCCGATTTCGTGCCAATTTTTTTCACATACAGTAAAAAATACCCCAAAAAATACTTATTTGAACGACACGATATTCGAGTTGGTTCATGTGAAGCTACGAAACATAAATTAATACTAAATAAAAATGTAAATTATTTACGAATACTAATGTGTGCATCACCCACAAGATAAAACAATAATACTCAACATGTATTTTTTTGTTTGATTATTGTATTTTGAATTTACTTAACAATAGTATTTTAATGTTATGCAGATTTGTGTTAATTGTGGTCAAATAACAAAATAAAATATATATATAATAGATGTTTTTTCTCCAATTTATATTATTAAATGTTAAAAAATAATATGTCGAGATTTAAATAAATACATTTTAATACAAGTTACAATGATTGATTAATAATGTTTTTAGTTTGCTACATTTTTAATCATGTCACATAAATTTCATAATTTTAAAATGCAGTATATATTACTCTGATTTAAGTCTGACACATTTACATGACTAACAGTATGTTTTCTATTTGTTTAGTTATGTCCGGTGATGCGAACAATAATTTATTTCAAGGATTCGTTAACAACAACGGTACAAGTAAGTTTGATATTTTTTCGCGAATAATTTAATTTTAATGCAGCGATGACAAATAATTGTTATTAAAATCGTAGTTTGTGTGTAGTAGTGTTATATTTACAAATTGAAGGATTACTTGCGTAAAATATATAAGATATGCTTTTTAATTTTCTTGGAAATTGCTAGACATGAATGTTTATGATGATATCATAATCATTGTTTGTGCTATCCTTATGATTATTTAAAATTTCATGTTTTTTAGCGTTCCTAAAAAACGTTATTATGCCTTATGTAATAGGTAAGATATTTTCATAACAACATTAATATCCGTTTTAAAAACCTAAAAGCCAAAATATGTACTTGTAAAATGATTACTATTTTCTTTGAAAATAGCATTACGCAAGGATAATAAACGGTTTAAATATTTCATATAACTATTAGGCAAGTATTTCTAACTTTTATTCTTACACATAGATAATTAAGCTTTGATGTTAGTCAAATGTCAACCACATGTAAGATTATCTGGTGCACGTGTCTCTGTGGTTTATATGTTCTTTGAAAAACTCAGTTAACTACTGTTAAGTACTTCAATTTAGACGTCAGTTGTTTGTGTCTTTGATGTGCCAAGAATATTGAACGTGTGTACATCTTTATGAATTCATAACACTATTTATTTATCAATTTAACGGATTATGAAAGGAACGCCGTTTGGGTTCATAGGTATAGACGCCGTGCAGTAATTATTAAGTCACTACGCGAAAGTCACAGTCGAGAATGTGCTAAAAAAACTTCTGTATATTCTCTTGGTCGCAATATTCCCTTCGAATCTCACGATCTATAAAATTATGTTTGCTCATTGTTGACATTCTGCCAGTCGAGTTATCTGTAGAATTTTAAAACAAAACAAAAAATTACTGCCAGTCGTTCACTGTATTAACACACTCTGTGTTCTTGTGGTACTCATTCTGTGTTTACAAATCGTCTTTCTACCGACTTCTAAAATGGTCCTCGATCATACGACCGCAGTCAACCTCGTGAACACCATAAAAATCATAAATCGGAAATACATACAATGCACGTATATATATATATATATACTGCCAAATAAACATAAAACGTCGCGATATCGTGTTTTTAATTATTCGCCTATTAATAACCCATATTTTGCTTCCTCGTTTGTCATATTATATGAGTTTATTCTTCTTATGATTCCTTCAATAATAATACAACAATGCCTGATAGGATACCTTTCCCGAAGGCATTACATTGTGGTATTTGTATGAGGCGCCCGACACTTCCTAGCACTCAAATTCATCTAGAAAACTCATACAAAAGATTTTTTCATTTATTTATTCTTCCTATAATGATGGAATTTATCTAGCGCCAAACATTCACTTTTAATTAATAATTTTACCTATTATCTTATGACTTTAATATTTAAAGTTATTTCGTTTCTCACACTGTAATTGGAAAAATATAGATTTTTTTGTAGATGTTGCATAATTGTTAAGATTAATTAAAATAGTTGATATTTTTTAAATAAATCGAAATGATAAAAAATTTGNACTGTAATTGGAAAAATATAGATTTTTTTTGTAGATGTTGCATAATTGTTAAGATTAATTAAAATAGTTGATATTTTTTAAATAAATCGAAATGATAAAAAATTTGACAGCAATTTAATATATTAGTGATAAAAATTAACAATATAATGTACATTATATTCCCACTGTTATTATTTAATAATTAAAAAATCTGTTTTTCAATCTACCTTAATAATTCCTTGTAAACTAGAAGTTAATTATTCGTCGTGTACCTCTTTTTTTATACTCGGAGGTAAACTATCACCAGTCACATTAAAATGCTTATTCAACGAGTATTTAAAAAAATAGTCTCATCTCATTTTCAAAAAATATGTGACTTGTGATAGTTTACGTTAAGTGTACAGATTTTAATAAAATATTTAAGGCTACAAATACAATACATGCGCCTTGCTTATGGAGGCAACACAAGTTGCATGAATGCTTACAATATATATAGATTAGCTATATACGGCGTAATTTGTTAAATCAATCTATAGAGCTAACAGGTAGGAGGTTAGGTAATGTTATACAAATTTAATACTTTAATGCATTTATTTTTATACTTAGTACACACTATGCAATAAATATATGTAGTTTAATATAAACGATAATTTTTTTAAATTTCTGTAACTAGTTTTTATAATTCATACTCTTTAATAGTGAATTATAACATATAAATCATTATTTTAATTATACTCAAAATACTATTCAATGTCTGTATTTTCTTACATTATTTGAATGTCGTATTTTACTGTATAATTATACATTAGTATTTATTTAAAAATAGCTTAGTTTTTTTTTAGTGTTAATAAATAATGATATTAAATATACTCAAGTTTTTTCTATACAATATGAGAAATATTTATCAATGTATAGATCGACGCTTGTGTTTTAAATAGTTAAAAAATTAAAATGTTAAATAAAAAATCAGCAAATTTGTCACAAATTACAACATTTTAACATGCTATAACAGATGAAAAATCGATCGGATATATTTAAAATACTTTATTTTTTTTTTGTCTATCATAATATCAAGTAGAGGAACAACGGTGTGGCCGAATTGGTAACGCGGCAGTGTTTGACACGCACTGCTTATGGTTCGGAACTCGGTCACGGGTGGCTTCAATTAGCGAACGAGAGATCAGTTCGGCTAATTGGCGTCGCCATCCCTCTCTCTGGCGACGGACTAACCACCCGTCCCGGAGTATATATGGTTAAGAAACCTCGTCCTTTGGGGAAGACCACTATGGCCCTTAATGGGTTGATAAAGTAATAAGAAAAGAAAAAATCATAATATCAAGTTATAAAATTTTGGGTTCTCATTAAATTTAAATTAAAGTTAAGATTTTTCTCATGTTTCCTATTATGTTAAGATTTTTCTCATGTTTCCTATTATGTTAAGATGAACATTTGTAAATTATATTGTGTAAAAATTTTAACAATAACTATTTTTGCATGCATTAAAAAAGGTTAAGGTTTTTAAATTGTAAAATCTTTTATCAACACGTCTTAAGATTTTTCATGGGAGAATTCTATAGTGAATTTATGTTCTTAAAATTTTCTTGCACATGCTTAAATTACATTGTAATTCATACATTATTTATTTAATTTTTTACGCAATAGATGGATAATTTATTGTTAATTAAAAATTAAAAAGTATTGTTTTTTTTTTTGTTGCTATCTTATTGTCTTAAACCTATCGTTATATAATACTCTTTTGGCCATTTAAATACTATTGAAAAAAGTAATTTTAGAAAGGTCTGCTTCGTTGAATACTAATATTGACAACAGTAAACAAAAATATTAAATAGTTTTATGGGACTTACTAAAACCTACAATGATTAACCATTGAGTTAAATTATTACTTGGGGTATAATTTATAATTTATACTACATATTTTTAACCTGACTGAAGGGATATTTAAATTAATATAACAATATAATAAATAAAATCGAAATAAATAATTTCTGATCAAATAAAATGTTAAATTTAATAATAATAGTTTATTAAATTATAATAAGAATATTTTGCAATGTTATTATTGTACATTTGTTAATTTATTAGATAAAATCGGTAAGGAACGAGGATGCTTCAAAATTAATTTTAAAAAAATGATTATGAATCTGAATTTATAAATTATCAGTTCTTAATAAAATCAAACGCATCATAAATATTAATGTAATGATAGAAGAGAGTAATATATTAATGAACAAATTAAAAATATAACAAATTGTTCAATAAGTGATTTTTATGCCTAGAATATTAAAATTAATTAATTTTAATCACACCATGATGAACTTGTATACTATCATTCACCATAAATAATTATATAAAAGTCATTTAATGATATATCATTAAAAGTTTTTAATTTTCTTTAAATAATTATCTAAAGCTTAATTGTAAGATTGTTTTTAAATTCTTTATCACTATGAATCTCCATACTCCTTATTCTTTTTTTACCTTGACATTTTTTAAATAATTTTATTTTTTTGATAAAATAAAATATATTATGCTAATAAAATCTAATCAAAGCATTCTGACTATAAACCATATGTTTTTGACCTTGGGTAGGCGTAATCATATAAAGTATCAAAAAGTTTCTTCTAATTGCTTGACTTTTTTTTTTACTACTATTAAATCTTTAGTATTATTTTTATGATCAATGTTATACTTTATTTAAAACAAAATAGAAGTATGGAAATAAATTATTTATTTGTAAATTGTAATAAAAAAGGGCTTGATAAGATTTTACTTTTATTTATTACAGATTTATTGTAGTTTCTTACTTATTGAAAATTTCAAAATATTTTAATGTTTCAATAAGAACTGTACAAAAAATATTAATTGTTTTTTATATATGCATCATTAAATAATGAACGTATAATGAACCATCAATGAATACACATCTTACTGTCTAGTCGTTTCTTCTTGAATGTTAAGCAATTTTTAAAATAAAAATATATTTATTTGAAATAACTGTCTTAGATTGCTTAACTGCCATCTAACGGATAACTAAAATCGTGTTTTAAATATAAACCGACAGAGGGCATTTCATTGATATCCATTGAAGTATTCATCTAGATGGCGTTACATATCTTAGTACTTGACAATATTAAATTATTACATTAAAAATGTTATACTTAATGCAAATCTCTTAACTAACGTCATCCGTTTGTATAGTTGAGACGTCAAGATGGTCTTAATGAATAAAAATTAGTAACGCACATTTGATCTCGAGAACTCGACCTTCCTTAATCATTTGGTTGATTTTTGTGCGAGTGTAATAATACCCAATGATAAGCGTCAACTGCTAAATTAATAATGCTCTCTAAACATTTTTTGTATAATCGTTGCATGTGCATTTATACAACAACGAGTATAAAAAAAGAAGTTAAACAATCGAAAAATTTAAACAATTGAATTACGAAGTTCCCAACGATCATTGCCGAAAAAATGTTGATGTCAAATTTTATATTATCAGCGCACGTGCCATCAGTATATAGTTGTTCTAATTATGTATTGAGACGACAAAAATTAAATGTATAATAATGCAATTTTTGCTGTACTAACTTTTATCAATTTTCTGCCAACACAACTAATTGTGTAATAACTAGAATCAAATATATTTAGAATTACACATATCTGCTATTCTATATAGTAGCTGTTCTGCAAAAGTTCACACATTTCCTTCAACAAAAAAAAAAACCCATACGTCTCTATTTTTTATAATCCAACAATGTAAGTTATTGGACTTTGGACACTCAAATAATAATAAATAAGAACACTACCATGAATACTACAAACATTTTAAACAAACATAAATGGAATTACAATAAGGGTAACCGAAATTATGTCTAGTGAGTTGTGACGACAATTGCCCACGACGTTGTCATGTGTGAATTATTCATAATATATAATTTAATACACCTCTCTATTGTTAAAATCATTTATGCATGACCATATTAATATCATTTTGACAAAATTTGAACTGATGAGGAGTAAACTACCGTCTTGATATTAAGCTAGGCTCGCATATCTACTTTACCTTATACAAAAGCTTTAATTCGGAGTAAAATTATAATGATTATTAATTGCAGCGCAATTTGTATTGAAATCAATTCAATTATTTTTAATGAGCGCACGAAATTATCCTAAAATCAATTTATTGATTGATAGCTTACTATTTTTTAATAGTTGACCAAAAAATGGATTTTACGTCTACTGTAAAAATCTTTTTAACATCTACTTAACTTAGGAAATTGTCTATTTGATTAACACCTAATTCTTCAAGTATCCAATGGAATTTGCTATATTTTTAAAATTTATATGCTACGCTATTGTAGCGTGGTACATTATTCAAACTGTAGTCAGGTGATAAGATATATTTTACTCGGACCAGATCGGTTTAATGTTACCTTCAGAATTCATTTTAAATAGATTTATGACCCTTGAACAACTGTTTTTCCACAGTTTTTTAATGATTCACTAATAACACTTAAAATGTTGAGCAGAATCACGTGCTATTTGGGTTTTTCACTTTAGTCATATTATTTCAGCAGCTATGTGGCCTATGCTCACAACTCGTTTGATAAATTAAAGTTACTACATGTGAATTTTAAGTGTTGGCACTCATACGTTTAGTACAGTTTTACTAGTTGCTATTTTATACATTCTCTCCCCCGCACCTCGGTCATGTTTTTGAACGATGAGCTAACACGGTGTTATGTAAGAGTGATGGATATGGATATAGTCACTATGTATTGTTGTGATAATTTAAAAAAAAAAAAAAGGAAACTTATTGTAGCTTTGGATCACTTAAATCTCGTTTTTTTTCTTTTCAAATGCTACATGTGATTAAACTGTTCTTGACGGGTTAAGCCGATTAGTATAACTCGTCCTTCAGTTACAATGTCCTTGGCACCGAAATATGAACAGTTTGAATTGCAGGATTTGCATGGCCACAACTCGCATTTATAATACTCTATTAAAATAAAATAATAAGTGATAATTTTTTTTATCTCGGTAATATTCTATGCCAAGAAATCATAACTCGATTTATCTACTTAAATTTTCAAAACCAAAAAAATTGAAACGAATCCCTTCATTTGTATACATTTTTTAACAATACTAGAAATGCAGTTTTATTGTAATAACATATAACGGTAGTGGCATAATACGATATGACTACAGTAATGTATATTGTTTTTCATTTTCGAAAACGATTTTCTTATGAGCCTATTCCTTAACATAAAAACACTTTGTTAATTGTATAACTCATATACGCGTACTAAGACAATACTAATATTGTTGTTGTCTGTTAAGTTTATACGTCAGAATGAACTAAAACTAATGATTTACGATTTTGACAAATATGTAATACAGACACTTCAAAAACAAATTAGTCTTGTAACACTTAAATATTAAACAATTAACTCTTCTACGTCGATGAATTACAATTTATTTGTATTTTTCTAATTAACGTTTGTGTTAATAAACAATATTATTGAAGCTTTTTATTCGCACCTTGTAGTACGGTTAGGTATTTGAATAATTTTGTTGAAAATATAGTGAGTCGTTACAAAATCTCACATCCATAACCAATTTTCATTTTGAACACTACCACTGTGTGCATATACTTTAGATTTCAGTCCTAGAACGAATTTGGCTGGGTGGGTATTGGTACGTGTCTGGGAAAAAAAATTGAATGCATTACTCTACATTATCATTCAAATTTTATACATTTATGTTGAATATTAAAGTGTGCAAAATTATATTATCATTTCAATATATTAGTATATCGTTGTATAATTTTTTTACAAAAAAAATAAAAATGGTTAATAAAAAATTTAAAATTATTTTAAGGCGCAATAAAAACTCTATGAGATCTTTAGTAATTTATTTCGTATTTTAAAAATATATAAGATCCTTAATTTTACCTAACATAACTTTAATTGATTGATAAATTGAACTAAAGAAATTATTATTTGTATGTCAATTACTATAGTACTTTTGTAGTTTAAACGTGAGAGGTATTATCAAAATATGCTATTCCATAACCTTTTTTTTTTTTGTCTTCATTTATTTTAAATTCGTTATCATTATTATCAGTATAATATTAATTATCTTCCACAGATAATATATATATATACATATACATGGTCGCAGACATAATTACTATTATACATTATGTATATATCCCTCATCTTCCTCCCTCGACACACTTCTGATATTACATCATATTTAAATAATATATGCTTAAGACCGTCATTAGAAAAAGTAAAGAATTAATGTATTAAAATATCAACAGATAATAAGCAATCACAATTATGTTATTTATTACATTATTGTTTTAATAGAAGTAAATACAAAACGAATGGGAGTTAAAGTTTTTAATGGCATAGTTTTTTAATTGTCCTTCTTCGACTAAAAAATGTTAAAGGATGATTTCTCGAATTATTATATAATGAACTCAGGAAAATAAATAGATAATTAGTTTTATCTTTGTTTATACAACCCGAAATAACAACTATAGAGTTTTTTATCGTTGTATATATATGTCATAACGAAAATAAATTATTAGTATCACTCAAAAACACTTTCGCCCAATGAAACAATTGAAAAACTTCTATTCATTTGAAATAACTAAATCAAAACAATAACTTAATTTTAGTTAATTATTAACAGATTTGTATTAAGTGGAAAAATGTTTTACTGAAAATAAAATATTTTTATTAAAATATGTATTATGAAAATAATTTTCCATACTAGTTATTGAAATATCTTTATCCACGAACAATATAATTATATTTAGTAGGTACCATTACAATTGTATTATATTTTCATACTTGGTATTTTTACTTTAAAAAATAAAACTTTTTAATTTATTTGGTAATTATTGACTGGTTTGAATTAGTGATGGACATTTTCGAATATTTTAAACTATCGAATAACTAGTCGAATTGTTTTTATACAACTGAATAGTTTATCTTTAGCACAAAATATTCGAATAAACTATCGAATATTTTTAAAAATTATTGGAATGGGCTACCGGAATGGTTTTAAAAAATATTCAATTAGTTCTACCTAAAATTTTTATTAAGTACACTTAATTATAATAAGAAGGTAATTAACAAATACTTAAAATAAATTATTATACAATTAATAATAGTAAAAATTAGTGATGGGCATTTTCAAATATTTTAAACTATCGAATAACTCTTCGAATTTTGTTTATATAACCGAATAGTTTATTTTTAGCACAAACTACTTGAATAAACTATCCCATCACTAGTTTGAATGTTGATATGTATTGCTCTTACATACCATAAAGCTTCAGTTTATTTGACAGTGAGATAACATTGTTGTTTTAATCAGAAGTCACAAAAAATTATTTCAACTTTTATAAAACTAATAAAAAAAAAACATTTTATTGACATTGTGTTTACTGTGCATCATTACTCTAATGTATTTACTCAGGATGACAAAAGTTATTTTATACCAATTGTCAGAACAAATATGAATTACCTAGTACCCATCTATTTACAAATGGAAAAAAACAGTATAAATTCATTTTTTATATGTATTTTCATTGTCTCATCAATTAAAAAATATTTATACTTAAAACTCTATTAAATATATGTCAATTATTGTAATCCGAATACAAAATGTAACCAGGCGACCGATTAAATCTCTTAAATACGTTCAATATTACACTATTTCTTATTCGTTTGCTAGAAAATCTTTATACGATATTATTACTTTACGTAATACAGCCCAAGTACTGCTAATTTCATAAACATTGAATTTTTTTTTTTTTATTTATAAATTTGTTATTAATTAAGTTTATATTAAAAATATATATTTGCACCTCTGAGAATATCAACTTTAAACGTGTAAAATTATAATTATGATTTAAAAAAATATTTTATCGATAATTATTAATGTTAATATTATTATTTTCAAAATAAACTACGTTGTTTAGTCTAATGTTATGTGAATATATTAATAACATCATGTTTAATACTCTAAGTGCCATATTTATAGTTAAATCTTATGAATAAGCTAAGCTTTATCTATCTAAATAACTTTTTTATGAGAATCAAGTGTATATATGATTCTAAGAAATTATTTAGCTCTAAAGTTTTTAGAGAAATTATTTAACTCTCGATTGATTTATCATAAATAATAAATGGATATTTTTTTTATTTTCAGATTCAGATTACTCCTCAGAACATGTCGGTAAGTTATGTAATGTTAAAAGTATTATAATAAAATACTCAAAAATTCTTGTACTTTAACTAACTATCACGTTTAAAAAAATACAACCAACTATAAAATATGGTAATGATTGGAAATACATTGTTATTACCATAAGGTTATTCCTATTGTTATATTAAGATGATAAATGTTGAAAAACGAATAACTTTTTTCCTTAAAATTGTAAATAAGATTTTTTAAAACAAATATTTTATGCAAAATATTTATATTTATATTATATTATGCATTTTAGTACAAAAATTATTAATGTATTAAGGCTTTAAAGTTTTAGTGAACTAAACTTTTTCATCTTAAAAAATTAAATATCGATTAATAAAATTTAATATGTATTGCATTAACAATTGTTTTTATTAATATTCATGTCACATTTTACTTAAGACAAAATGAAATAAAAAGTGTTTTTTTGTCATTCCTAAATTATCTATCTTCAGTTGTTTGTGTTGGTCTAATTTTTTAATAATGTTTACTGTACAAGTAGAAAATTAATATTTAACTATGTTTTTAAGTCTACATTGATTGGAAAATATTGATTTTGAATGTATATTTTTTTTAGTGATGTGATAGTAACTTGTATTTTGGCACAATTAAACTGTTTATTAACCATAAAGAAACTTACTCTTTCACTTTTGACGAAAAGTTTACCATTCTAAGTTAAAATTTATTTTAATTTTCACTTTTTCTTAAATTACTTAATAGTGCCTATGATTAACTTTCACTGTAACCTAAGTTAATTTTCTATCTCGTTCTTCGTAGTTTGCCTAGGAATTAACGAAGTATTTCTGTTTAATATTGATTACTTATTTTACTAATACTGCTTCTTGGTTTAATTTTCTTTATGTGTGTGTATTAACTGCCTTATAATTTAAAACGTTGATTAGGGTTATGATAATTTTGCCAGATGGTTATCAGAAAAATCTAATATTATGCTTTACTAAAGCTTTACATTTTTAGAATTCAATTTTAAGTCACATTTTGAACATCTCCTTTTAAGCAAATAAGCCTTGGCATTGATTTTTGAATCCAAAACCGATTATGGCAATATTTATCCCGAATGAAAACTACGTCTTCTTTCGTCAGACCAAAACGATGTTCGGTTTTCCAAGGTTTCCGCAAGGTTACTCTGAATATCAACGTAAATACCAACTTTTTAGAAAAATCTATATTTTAATAATTTATTTGAGATCACGTTCTTTTGAAACACTCTTCTCTGTGTCTTCTATTAGTAATGATACTATAAAAACGTATCTAATATTCAAACAGGTTTGCTGATTAGTATCCATACATCAATATGCGACTGCTATTAGTAAATTTAATTTTTATCCTTATTTATTCATTACATTATGCACATTATCTTATTTAACATGCTGATGAAAATTCAAATTAAAAAAAAAAATTCTCTGAAAGCAAACCTGTTACTTATGACAACACGTTGGTAAACCCCACCCAACTATTGTTATATTCCTTAGGTCAAGTTTATTGAATATTCAACCATTAGCATATAGGCTTGAACGTGGAATTTCCTAGTTTCATGTCCAATTGATATAATATATTTACTCATATGAATTGTCTGAATTACCCTTAGGCTTCTAATATATACAATTTATATACATGTAAGTGTATATAGTTATTAATATAAATACTGATCAATTAAACATTCATACTGCCCTGTAAACAGTTTTTTCTATTAAAAAAAATTAGAGGATAAAGTTTAGAAGGTACAATACTTCTAAACATGGACATGAATAATTAGAATGGGGCGTATTGGAATAGTGCTTGGAAAATATACGTCCGCACACGCATTATTTAAGTTAAATCGATCAAATAGAAACCAAGCCGTTGCAAATAAAAACATGACATATTATTCGACGTCTGTGCTTTTTTGCATGTTGAGTATTTTTTACATTCGTTTTTAAGTTGTTCTTAATTTNTTGCACGTTGAGTATTTTTTACATTCGTTTTTAAGTTGTTCTTAATTTTATCTACGTAGTAGTTTATGCAGTTTACCATACGTCTATTGATTTATCAATTGATAATTGGAATTGATTGACGTTTGATAACAAAGACTTGGAGGATTCTTAGACTGTGGGACTAATCAATAATATATTCGTTGCTTAATTATCGTAATTGTAGTATTTATAAACAGTTATAAATTTGCTTCATAAACCATCAAAATATGACAGTTAATTCAATAAGGAACAAACATTTAACTATGATAGACATTTGTTCATTTTTCTTCGAGTCAATTGCTGCTACGCGCACGAATCTGCCCATGTATAAAAAAACTCATAACACTTATTCATGACCATAATCATTAGTTTGAAACACTTGAAAAAACATTTTCTTTATTTTTTACCACGGTTTTGTTCGTTTATACGAATTTTCAGCCTGGCGCCGCACAATGTAGACCCATACACGGAAGAAGAAAATATTAAATAAGTAAAAAAAATATCCTTTTAACTTATATTAACGCATAAAAACGAATTCATTTCTATATTCTAAATGCATTAGTTAGCTAAGAGTCATCAGTTGCATATGACAAACCATTACCGCCGATCTACTTTGATTTCGATAACGACTTGCATGTGATTTTAATTTTGATTAATCAAACTACTTTTTTTTTTTACAAATCAACCAAATTATGAAAAAAGTGAGGCTATATCGATTTAAATCAGCCATTTTATTGGTCATCAAAGTAAAAATGAGTGAATCATAAGTTTCAAGAAGTCAATTCGTGTAGACACCAAGATAAATTCCACTCTGTTGTTACTAACAAGCGATTTATTTAAAGATAATAATTTTAGCGAGTCCTTTAAAAAATTGTTCAGCATTATGAAAATATTATTATTTTTTTTATTTTAACTTAGTAAATCTCAAGTACAAATCGATTTTGTTCTATTATTCATTTACGTTTCTTGTTTTGAAAAAAAAAACTACAATTATTCCAATTTGACATTTAACAAAATAAGTACCTATAAAAAAAAAATCATAATTAGAGCGAGTATAATTTATTTTTTTTCCCATTTGCTTATTTCATACACCCAGAGAAAAACCTCGATCTATATAATAAATTCATTGTTCAATTTGATAAATATATCATTACTATTGAATCTATGATATATTTATCAATATGATCATTTTTTTTCTTGTCTTGAACAATAATTATTTATAAGAATAATTATTTTGTTCGTATTAATAAAACATTATCATAAACCCTTGATAAAATTTCTCTATCAAAATTGATTGAGGTTTTTCTTTGGGTGTAGAACACTTAGATATATCAAGTGACATTTTTATATTACTTAATATGTACATTTATTTCGAGTGAACATTATATTAACTGTTAGTATATCACACAATCAATTTTAAACGATTTATAATTTTCTTTTCTTTTAAGTAACAAAAATATTTCCTAGTCGCTTTATAATATATCTCTGGGATTATCTGTCAATGCTATAAAATCCGATAATGTGCAACTTAAGAATATTACTGATTAAATTAAAATCTAAGGTCATTACTTTTAATTAAATATCACTAATATGTGCATTAGTGCGTATTACTTCCTTTAAGTATCTGGTTCCCAGTCCAAAACTAAAATTTACTAAAATTTCAAGTAAATTTAGTATTTGTTTATAATTTTTCAAGGTCCCCAGACAATTTTTAAAAACACAGTACGAAATAATAAAAAAATAACCTACTCTTTTTGTAATAAAAAGACAATTTTTTTTTAATACTTAAGGCTCATTAAAATAAAAAATAAATACTAAACATAATATACATTTTAAATAAAATTAAAAAAAAAGTCATTACTCTCTATTGTAACAAATTATCACAAAATAGATAATTCGCCGTGTATTAATTATATTTTAGCATTACAAACAGTAGAAATTCAATATTTCCATTTAGTTCAACTGATTTTAAATAATTTAAAGTCTTACAAATGAAATTTTATTTGATATCAAATATAAATAATAATAACATGGCATAAAAATAAATAATTAGAAAATAATTTTATTTTTTAATCATATTAAATTATTATTGTTTTTAATTATAATGTAGTAATTTAGACTACTTTATTTTAGATTGAATAAAGTTAAAATTTATTGTTGATATTTTTATATGTTGGTATTTAGTTTTTTTAATTGACAAATATTTTGCTTTTAATATATTATCTTCTATCGAAAATACTATACAGTCATTTTTATTATAGAGGGTTGTTTTTTATCGTTATCAAACCTTAATCATAGTCCATTAATAAAATATAAAATCCTTGACCTACGATTTTTAATGTTAAAATTCATTTTTCATATACTTCATTCTAAAAACTTAATTAGTATGTACTGAACACATATTTATTACATGTTATTCCAACATAGGACGTTTGATGCAAATATTACGAACAAAACTATTATTTTCTAACAAATAATAATTTACTTTTTGGTTTAATTATTTGTATTGTAATTTATTATTATCTTAACGTTCTTCAACTTTTTTATACTTTTTTTTTCGACGTGTCTAAAAGTTTATTCGACTATGAGAATTGACACTGTCCAATTAGTCCGATACACATTTATGTACCTAACTACTTACTTTACTTGGTTACTTTTTAGTGCAAATTACAATGAATTTTGTAAATTGAAATTGTATTAGATATTTATATAGTTATAACGTTACGCTTGGCGTAGAAAAATTATTTTTTAACTGGACATGTTACTTTTTATAATTGAATTAGGAATACATATACAATTTAAATTTGTAAGTTCATTTTCCTTTTTCAATAAAATTAGTCTTAGCGCAAATTAATTTTTATTTATATAAAACACATAATGTTGAAATAATATACTCGTTCGAATGTCACATATACACGGACTAATATATTTATCAATGACCATTATTTTTCCTAAAATATTAATAATTGAAATATTTTTTTGGACTTTGTTGAGTAATAATCCTTATAATAAGGATACCAAATTTATTTATTTTTAATAGAAAAATATATATTTAACTAGTTTATAAAATTGAAAATTTTCCAATAAAGAAATTAACAGATCAATTTTGAACTATTATTTTGGAAGTTTTTAGCATATTTATACCTAAGCAAGAGGAAGAGTGCGCTGAAAAATGACAAATAATAAAAACAGTCATACTCGCACTTCATTTCCAGACCAAATTTAAAAATACTAATTACTTCGAAAGTAGTAGTCCAAAAGTGGTTATCGACCAGTCATTTCATTATTAAATAATTTTTTATATAATAAGTTAGTTATTTATGTATGTCGTCATTTAAAAAAATAATGTTGATATCTAAATAAGAGATAAGGGATGGACATATAATGTACTTTATTACTTATAAATTAAAAGATAAATAAACAACTACTAAATAAAAGCAAAAAAAATTATTTTCAAGATTATTATTATTATTTTAGTAGAAATTTAGTGGTCAATGATAAATCAATCACTCTGTATAAGAAACAAAGAGTTTGCTTAAATAACTTAATACTAACATTGCATTTTTCACATACTGCTTAACATATTTTTCTGTCAAAAAAAGTTCAACGCCCAACAATTTTATATATATTAAAAAAAAAACAAGTTTATTTTTCTACTATATAAATAGTTGAATGAAGGATGAATGGTTATAAATGACATATTTCATTTGTCTAGGTTTTTTGTGTATAAATACAATCAAATTATATATTAAACATATTTGTTAATATCTTAGCAAAACATTTAAGATTTTTGATAATCTGTTTAAACCTAATCTGGATATGTGCGTAGCTGAAAGAAATGTCCTGTTTACTTTAAGATTTAATACGATTATTTTGGCACGTTTTATTAGCTTTCAATACGTTAAATAGACAAATTTCGCGTTATAAATTAATTGATAATCGTTGAATTTTTATATCGTTACTAAAGTTAGCCACTAGTTATGTTTCAGTTAGTTGTAATTCTTTGGAAATATGTTTATGCCGTGCTCGATAGTATCCAGTGACAACAGTTTTTTTTATTTATTTCACTAGTCTTTATTACTTGTAATGTTGCTCTAATAGTATATTACCGCTAGTATAGCGGTGTCATGTTTTTTTTTTTTTAATTGAGTAAATTAAAAATTTTACAGAATGTTGAATTTTATCCGTTGAAAATTTCAACAGCTGGCACAAGCATGACAGTAACAAATGGCATGCATAACACTCGATAATGACTCTAATATAGACAGTATTAATACATAACGTAGTATATTCAGTTGTATTTTTTTTATTAGATTGTGTATTAAAATATTTAATCTGTTTCCGGCAATTGAGGGTTACCCTGTGTGACCTCTGACCCTATCATCAGATAGTAAAACAATAACTCTACTCCCTCGAGTTTTCATTCTAGAAAGTTGTGAACGTTTTCGATAACAATGGTCGTTGACCATTCAAATTCAGTTTGAAAAATTATATTAAACAAAAAATTAATCGCCGAATAAATAATGAATTTGTCGTGCCAACTGTGGATAAATTAACCGTTATTCCTGTTGATATTATACCACGGTCTAATAATCGTGGTTGTATGTGGCCTAGGGCTATGAGTAGACCAGACAACATGGATACATTGTCATAGTAATTTTTGTTAATATTAAAAGAAGATATTAGTAAAAATGTCTGTAATAAAAATTATTTATGACACGTTCGTTTTTTAACAAACTTGCAAAATTATATGATTTTCAAGTATCAAGTCACTGATACCATATACACCTGAGTAAAACAGAGTAGAGTATAATGAACCGAGAAGAAAACACGAAGGCGTCGGGTGGACACGTGGGTAATATTACAAAAGAAGCTGACAATGACAATATGTTTTTATTACATAAAACAACAGTACTGAGTAAATGAAAACTCGATCGAGATTTCATTTAGCAAAACGAATGATAAGTTTACCCAAAAAAACTTTACAAACGGACACTTGTGTGTTTCACGTGCACAGAGAAGTCGTTGAAAAACGTCAAGGACAGAATTAGTGTGAACACGACGTGAATTCAAAGTGCGTACAGAAAAATCGAAACGGTTGTCAGTACAGGACAACTATGCAGATGATGAGTAGGGATGAGAAACCCTGAATTGTGCGTGTCTGGCAGAACGTGTGGACGAGGTGTGACCGGGGAGAGGAAGTTAGTGACCTGTAGAGAAGAGTCGATGATCCCGTCTGAGACATTCTGTGCTAATGAAGGGGAAAATATATAAAGAACAGAGAGCCACAGGAAATAAAATATGCGTGTAAACTATCCTGTATAGTATATTATTTTTTCTCGAGGCCAACCACATTCAAAGTTATTCAAGTGCAATGCGTATTTGTATAATTCATTTCAAATTTCTAACGATGTATAAAACGTCCTGAAAAAGGTGTTACATTCGATTTTAATGCCCAGTTCATAGTACAGCAACATTATTACTTTTTTATTGAAACTTTATGTATGTGGAAAATATCTATACATATGAATAATTACCCAATAATCCGTGTACCAACAATTTCTATTGACTATTACACTATACTTTTTATGTGCGTTGTAATTATTTTATTAAAACACATGTTATGTCCGTATCATGTACAAGTCCGTATTATCTAAATGTAACTTTGAATATTGCTTCATAAAACTAATAATAATTAATCAACGATATGAAATTACATGAATTTAATGATGCAATCAACTCGGTGTTCTTCAACCTTTAGGTTTTTTAATAAAAAAAAAGTCCAAATAATTTTTATATTTTACTGTTTTTAATGTTTCTATTTATCATTTCAAACCGATCAATGTATTTAAAAGATTTATTTTTGTATTAAACAAGATTTTTTTTTTTTTATGGAAAATATTTCATATAATTTATAAAATGCTGGTTTTACTTGAAAATCTGTTTGTATATTTCCAAGTACAAAAAAAGTTTATGGCCAATTTAATATTGTTAGAATATTTATTAGTTGTTCAATTAGTTCCAAATGTAGTTGGTAAACGAAAAATACTTTTTACTCTAAAACTTCTTACTGTTTTGTAAACAAATCATTTACAATTTCATCTTTTTAAATAATCTTGCCCGGCCGAAATGTTTTAAACATGTTTCGAGTGTATTAACCCCAAAAGCAATCTGTCTACTTGAATAAGATACTCGTAAGTACACGATTGTTTGTAGACATTTAAAAATTTTATCAGTTAGTGACGCTAAGTTATTTCCAACCAAGTGAATAATTTTTAACGTATTTTTCAGATGCTCCAAATGAGGGAGTATTCATGGTATGCGGTGTTCTCATTGCTATGGTACTCGTTGCTGTGATAATAGTTGTGCTGGCCGTAACCATAAGGTAAATATCAAAATCACTTGGATAATATCTTTTTCATTTGAAACACTGCGGTCTGCTCGTTAAGGTCAATATGCGTATGGCATTTGTGGTGTATTTCGACGAACAGGGTTCAATTGTGGTAGAACAAAATCGCGCAATCCGTACGACAGACCCGTACTGGAGATCCTTGAACCTAAAGAATCACATCTCACACGAATGGTTGTTCTTTGTTTCACGTTAGTCGCAATATAACATATTATGTGAAACCCAATGTGCACCTCATTGGATATAATAAATCTATACGCGAATAAAAAAGCGATTTAAGCCTTCGACGTATTGTTGCATTATTACCGCGATATTCAGGTTTTTTGTCCAGTGATCTCCGGCTCGTAAGAAATCGGGTCAAGTCACTATAAAACATGTAAATTATTTTGCCACTCTTTACTGTTAGGATCTCCGTTCTCCATTTTCTAGGGTTATCGACGATATATGTTTTAGAAATATATCTATTTAATTTGTTTTACTAGTTTAGAGTTACTATCTAGCAGTGCTAATCCGTTTTCCGAGATAATATAATTTTTTAAATTATGGACAATGTTTGTGTTAAATCATTGATAAAATGGATTCACACTATTACGCATGTACTACGCCGGCAGTCGCGAATCACGTGGTTTCACTTGTATTTTTTTTTTTTCTATAGACTTAGTCAAAATCTTTTATGATTATAGTTATTTTTATTTTTCTTAAGTCACTGCCAAACTTACATTTGTAATTTACATCGGTGTGTGTAAACGATATACGTATCATTTACACTTACTCGGTCATAATGCTACACACCGCTGTAGTAATTCGTTTCCTCGAATATGTTATATTTGAAATAAACCGACAATAAAAAATAATAGGTTCAATTTTTCAAATGCAAGAGCTCGCTTTTACCTCTGCGTGTGTCTTGATCGCGGCCATGATTAAATAACAATGCGACCTTTTTTATTTTTTTTTTACTTTTCCAATGTCGGTAAATGTAGACCTTCTATAAATATAGAAAGAGCAATCTGCCAACCTGATTTTATAATATTTTATGAATTATTTCGTGATAATACATAAACTATAAAAGTATTCGTATACATATAAATTTTTTATTGTAACCTTTCGAAGTCATCTATAATTTAGATGTTTCGTTGAAATCAAGCGAAGCAATGATTGACGTTTTGGCTAAATTCAGTGTTCACCTTTAAACACTTTTTTATACTATCATCATCATCATCACTATGAAATTTTATCCGCATTTAAATATAAACTGGTCGAAGGCGAAATCCGTGAACTCGGCGACTGTGTTTATGTAAGTTTTGTTTCGTATCGTTTACTTTCTTCTTCCTTAAACGAATAGAGGTTACCATATAGTTGTCGGAAAACGAATGAAATGCTAAATTATTTTACCATAAATTTATCCTCTACGTAGGATGTGTCTATTAAAAGCATATGGTATTGTTAATCGAGCTAAAAATACAAACAAATATTGCAGTATCGAATTAATTTATAAAAATATATGTAACCTATTGCTGATTATGTGATGTAACGCAGTCGCGTAGATAATTGATCAATAATAAAAGTTGCAATTATTTATATTTGCACGACCAAGAGAAATTTCGTTCTTGTTTTATGTTCAGATACCTCTATGGTCGATTTCTCTTTGGAAAACATGATTAGAGTCCTTGATGGACTATTTATTACTCCAAAAGACTTACTATGTGTTATATTCTATTTAACATAAACATAATCATTTCATAATATTCCATGACACCTCTAGAATATTTTAAGGCAATTATTTCAATGTTATATGCAATTCTTATATTTTTGTCATTGTTATTCAATGTGTTTTGTATATTTGCGTTTAGAGCAGGTCGTCGCCGTTTAGAAATCATTCTAGAAACAAGAAGGTTCTTACAGTCGCAAAGGATATCATTGCTTCTTATCTCCTTGAATAGATCAGTTAGTTTTTCTACAGAGGATCCAGTGACATTTATGTCGTACTTATGAAACAAGTTGTGAAACGAGGAAATAGTCAATGACGTATAAATATTAATCAGCACATGTCTATTTGCAGTCATACATATCGCGTTACCTACTGATAGTACACTGATAATTCATCCAAAGTTTTAGGTATTTTTACCTCGCGTAATAATTAAAGCATCGAACGTGGCAAATACAAATAATTTCGATATAGACCGAAAGTGCACGTGGATGTCGTGGTGTGTGGATCGACTCGAACGTAAACGGGGTTGCCTAGGTGAACAATGACGTCATACCAAAGGCTTCTGAACGGGAGCGGATCGATTCTCGTTTTGCCGGCATTTGAGTGTATACTACTGAGGCAATTCAAACAAGAAACCAAGAGGTTTATTTGTTAGTAAATCATAATAATATTGCGTAGTATATCACTTAAAGTACACATTGATTCAAAATGTAGTTCACTACTACTAGACTAGAGCTATTATCCATTCAAAGAATTTTTTCACCTCGAATTTACGTCTTATTGTAAGCTCGGGAGAGTTAAAACGACACATTACCCCCCCCTGTACTTCCTGGTGACTGATTGATAATGTACATTTAAACGAGTAGTGCAGGTTAGATTTTAACAACGCAAATTGCTGTACCTGATCAATGTTAACAAACACAAATTATCTGTGTAAACTATAATATTTATGGCTTTAAAATTCTATGTATAACCAATGACAACAGCCATTTTTCGGATTTAGTAAATGACATGTTTTAGATTTGATTTTTAACTCGAAACACTTCGTTTTATGAATAAAATATTACACACTTGCCAATATTTCGTAACTTATTTTCAATGTTGAATATTATCGGTTTGAATATTTGATAAAGCCGCCTCGCTTTAGTACCTATGTGTCATTTGTCCTAATTGATCTTTCTATTAACTCATCTAATAACTAGGAAATCATACATAAATATGTGTAATTTGCCCACAGTTGGTGTCTTAGTTTAATAGTTTTACCACTTCAATTGTACTACAGAACAACAGCAATGAGATAAACATTTTTTTCATTTTGGTAACGGTTTAACTATTGAAGGAGCAACATTTTTCAATTCTACTGTCAGTGACTAATGTGGATAACTGGGCTATTTAAATAAACATATCAGTAATATACAGAAGTATTTCCTTTTTAGTGTTATAGATTCTTAACAATCGGAAGAAAGAGTCAATAATATTATAGTAATTATTACATAATATATGTGAAACATAAAAACTATGATTCACATATTATACGCGTATATAGGACAAACTTTCCATACTGAATTTTTAATCTTTTCTCCGTTAATCAACATGTTTTTTTTCACACATATATCTTATCATAATTTATCTTTACACTACTTGTTTGACTCACATTAACATTTTTTTTAACAAAATCTTAATTTGTATCATAGTTATTATGAATTCATTAATCAACCGATACTGTGGATTTTTTATCTTCATCATATTCTTATTCAACAATTTTTATGGTAAAAATTAATCTTAAAATTAATAATTTTAACTTTTTTTTTTGTTATATTAAGTAACATTGTTGCTTGATTTTTTTTCTTAAACTACTAAAATTGTATAAAAAAATAATTTACCATAATCAAAATATTATTTCATTAAAAACTACTTTCGTTTCTATTTATCAGACATATTATGTAACAGTTCTAACTAAAAATATCTTAAATTCAAAATTAAAAATGTATTACATACTTGTGATTACATACATAACGTAATTTAATAATACGTTTATCAGCTTCAATTGAATAGTAATCTTAAAATTGTTAGAGATGTGATTGTTGTAAAAGTTGAGCTAGTTTGAAAACTCTAACGGCGTAGTGAACTTTTCGTGTTCAAGTTATATGTTATCATTTATTATATTAGATAGATGCATTATTAAGTTGTTTGACTTAAAATGTTTTCACGTTAGCTATGGCTAGTTAAGTTATATTAATGATGAAATCATATAGTTCAAGACAAATAGTGAGTGTATACACCTAGTCATCAAGGCTGATTTGAAGAAGGTATTATTCTAATTAACAGATTGACTCTGAATAGATAACAGCTGTGAGAATTCAATTTAATGGATTGCGGTAATATATAAACAAAGCCTGAAATTGCATTATTGATAATATAAGGCGGGAAACCGTTGAGTAATCTTTATTGGCCGGAAGTGAAATTTACTTGTTAAATTAAAATTAATATTGCGCCCACCACGAACAAAACAAGTCAAGAGAAAATTGCCCAAGTTAAAGCAATAAAGAATAATTTTAAAACATTCGTTTTTTATTGACTCGAGTATACCCTAAGTTTGGTACTCATTAACTGTTAGAAATGGTTAAGTGTCACGTCAGCAAGAAATTGAAACCATTCGCAGCTGTCTGAAGTTAGTTGCTCGTTTATTTTTTTGTCCAATACGCATAATATTGACACCACTTGGTCAAACTTGGATAAGTGTTAATTTTTTTTAACGGGTTCATACTCGGCTCTCTAGTCTTGACCTGACCCTACGTATTAGTTGTCGTATATCTGAAGATTCTCCGTACATAACCACCGCATTGTAACACAATATATTACATTATTATTAATAGTGCCGGGGGACGATGAACCGAGTTTGGCGCCTTAAGAGCAATCATTGGCAGACGCAAATTAATTTGCATGCGAAGAATAGGGACGGCTGTTTTAAGAAAAAAAAACGGGTCACGCGGGAGACTATCGCCAAACTATGTCCGTTATGTTCTCTCCTCCCTCTCTTTGCCACAACGTTACATTATCAGCGCTCTATTTTACTCGTACAGTGTTTTACGATTGTGTAAGTGTGCCCTCACTTCGTCCTCTAAATGCCAATTAACACAATTGCAGACTCTTTTTTTTTTAATTGTAATGTGAAGCTTGTATGCGCAATTAATTTATCACCCGTTTATACCAATCTAGCTGCAATCAATGGCGGCCACCGCCATGAGATCTCCTTATACACGCTTAA